AAGCAGTGCCTTTTTATTTTTTTTCCTCCTCCCGCCATAAAACCTTTTTCTTAAAACATGCAGAGAGCTATGCCTTAGGCTCTGGAAAATTATGAAGCCTTTAAAAAGTCATTCCTCTGTGTTTCCCCACACATCCACTCCCTTCTGGGCTTGTATTAATCAACAGCAGGAAAGTGTGTCACACAGCTTAGAAGCTACTGTATTTAGAAGAGAAACCAGCACAGAATGCCACGAGATCTATTTTAGAATATTGAACCTGCAAACATATGTGCTTTGTAAAATAATTAGGAAAAAGTAGTACAAAATTACATTATAATTTATCCTAACCGAGACCAATGTGTATTCTAAAAGCTGTTTATTTTAGAAATGCTTTGGTGGTTCCATTAGAGATGAGAATATAGCTTGTGTCATCAGTTTTTCCAAGTGTGCATGGGACAGTGTAGCTCCTATGGAAAGAAAAAACAGGTTGTATTTTTGATTCCTGAAGAGCAAGGAACAAAAATCCTCCATTTTAAAACGAGAGGCGTAATACGACTTTTGGCTTCCAGAAAAATGATATTAAGAGTGTGGTCAACTGTTTGGCATTAGAAGTAAGATTTTCTGAACATCCACTTTTTCTTTTTGAAACCACAGCTCAATGATGACTGTAAAGATTAGGATGTGGGGCTCCCCCTCCCCATTTTTTGCCTTTGGTTATTTTGTCCTGGCTTATGGAAAGAAGTGTGGACAGAAACTAGTGCTCCTGTGGCAAGGAGTCTCGCCCGTGGGCACAGATTTAAAGGCAAAGATGGAACTCCTTAGTAGAGTGCTTGTTGCTTAATTGGTATGCACGTGGTGGAGAAACCAGAAAATGTTACCTTTTTCTTTCTTTTTATTTTTTTTAATATTATTTTCTTCATTTTGGTCTGGCAACTCTCTCTTCTCTCTGACAGTTTAGGGTGTCCCCCACCCCTTTCTTCTACTCTTCATAAAGTAATTCTTATTTTTAATTCCAGGGAAGTTAGAGTTCTACTGCAGGTTCCAAGTTCAACTATAGTTCTAAAAAATACTGACAATTGGAAAAGTTTCTTTAATTTCCGTAATTGCAGAGATCCGAGTGGCTTCTACTTTCTATTTGCAGTAGCAGTGTATTGGCACGGATTTCCTCAATCTTTCAAGGCCCAACCACACATATTTGTTTATCTTGTCGCCTCTTTCTTCTTGCGTGTTTTGTGGAGAGGGGGGAGCAGGAAGCGATTGTATTGCTAATCATCTTCCAGTTTTTTCTTGGTAGCTCTTCAGAAGAAAATTATTCCAACTTTGAGCATAAGTAAAAATAAATCTCTTTTTAGTGCCTTTGAAGGAACATCTTCTGAATCAGAGAAGTATTATAAATAGTCTGAAATCAGTCTTTTAGACCTGAGAGTTGACTTGCTGGACAGTATCATGGCCTGTAAGGAGGATTCATTCATTATGGATAATGCCTTTTGAAGATGGAAGGATGTTTACTGTTATGTTTGATTCAGATCAGGAAAGGACTATTGTGATGCTTGGGGTTGAGCCTTAAATCTGGAAATGTTATTCTTCTTTTGAGTGAGTCAGAAGTGCTGGTGTTTAAGTGGGATGAATTGTCTAGTTTCTAGAGGTCTTTGTGACAGAAAATGTGTTCCATTTGTTATTAAACAGCTTTATGCTTGTAATTGTTTTTTAAATAGTTTTGATAGGGTGCTTATATTCTTGTGCAAGGGCAAAAATTACTTCTAAAATATTTTCTGGTCCCAAACAATTCCTCATGAGACATATTGCTTTTTTACCATCTAAAAAGGCTGGTGATATGACTTTGAAAGGTTAGCTGTCTAAATTTTCTTCTTTTCTTCTTCAAAATTTGGGTGATTTGTTACATTTGTTTGTTAAACTACAGTAAAAATAGCTATTTCGTTCTTACTAAATATTTTGGATAGAGTGCCATTATTGTAGGATGATAAAAGCTGCTTTTGGTTTTGAAATCAGAAGAGAAGTTTGCTGATCAAATAGAGAATTACTATGTCTTTTCTTCTTTCCTGTAAAACATTTGGGGGGGGGGGTTTCTTCCTCATTTTCTGAGACCGAGGACACTGTTCTCTAAACTTGCTAATGGGATCAAATCAACTTAATATGGAGCATGACATTCGATGATAAAGTTGATTGCTTACAACCGGCTTTGATTGGAGCAAGCTTAGTGGTCATTTGGAATATACTGAGTACAAATGTAGCTTATACCATTTCATCTTGGCTGCTTCTCAAATTCAATTTGGTACAATGCAGCCCTTGTGCTATTGTACAGTGTTTGAACTGAACATCTCCTTCTGTATTTATCTACTATGTAAGCACTTGATTTTTTTAGGATTTTAGCCAAAAATTTTTTAAAAAGTCAAGAAAATTGGCATATTTAACACTGTTCATTTGTTACTGTGTTACGCTTGCATAACAACTTTAATTTTCACCATTTCCTTCACTAAATTATAACAGTCCTCAGTTTATCCCGGTGGTTCTGCTGTTGGCCCCCAAAGAGAGTTTAAATCTCCTACCAAAGCCTTTTTTGTGCATCTGAAATGCCATTTTCAGTCGGTAACCCGAAACTGAATGTCTTTTTATTTCAGAGTTGTGGATGGTCTTACTTTTCCTCTTCTCCCCTGCCCCAAATGAAAAACAGGAGAGCTGAGGACTAAAGATACTAGATTTAATTTGCGGCATCCTCACTTAAATACCACCAAAATTTCTGGGCAAGGTAGCAAGAGTTGAAAGTGCTTTTACTCCAGTACTAATTCTTCTGCTACCTCTTGGTGATGCTCTTGTAAAATATGCTAGTGTTCTATTCTGTATGATACAGCAATGCAGGAAGTGGATAAGGTAAAATAGAAACTTTAATGCAGAAGCAGAAATTTCTGAGGTGTTACCTCATGTCATGAAATTAAGAGGGTAAGAAGCATATGCAGAAGTCTATGTGCCTTTGTTAGCAGAAACTTTATTCTGAAATACTGCAAGCTCCTCCTCCTTGAGCAGTAGAGGTCTGGTCTGCAGAATGTAAAAGATGTGTGTGAGTAAATACAAGAGTGGAGACTCCAGGGATGACTAAAATATAGGTCTTCCACTTTGCAATAGTAATCACTAACGTGTACCTAATAGCATTAGATCTTTTTGTGACAATTATTGATTGCTTTTTTAAGTACAAGGCAAATAGTCAAGATTTCCTCAAAGTAATGTTAATCATGAAAATTAAGATCTAAATTAATATTCCCAACTGCAAAATTGAAAAATCAGGCTTCAGATTGTCTTCTTAAATGCACTTTTAGCATACTTCATTGTCAGCTGAAATTTGTACATTGTGAGGCTAAGTACTGTATTCTGCACAACTCTTGATTATTATGCTTTTTTCTTTTGCAGCTCCAGATAAAAACCCTTTGCTTCTACTCAAATCCTTGAAAAATAAAGTCAGATGTTACCGTTCTGAAGGTTTAACTGTTGATGGCTCATATACCGTGAATTGTTGGTTCAGGAACTGTAGAAGTGTTCCCCTTGACTGCCGTGCTGATGGCTTGATTTAGTTGTTATGGCTGAGTCTGTGCTGCTCAGTTGGAATACATTTCTCCTGTTGACTTTGGGGAAGTCTGTAGGTTCAAATTGGTGTTGAGAAACTCTTCAATCAATGCTACGCTGCTCAGAATGCCAATTTTAAGTTGATAATTCCCTATGCCTATCCTATTTTTTTCCTTGAATGTGTGTACAAATATCAGTTAAAAAAAGCACAGCACAAAATAGCTTTTCTTCTCCTCCCCCCTCGTAAAAATGTCTAATTTACAGTAACTGAACCAGATGCTGGCTAAGTCCACATTTACTGTTAGAAATAGAGGAGCTATTAATCTTTTGGGCCTCTTATTCTTCTATTTCCCCAATTGTCATTGAATGTTTGTCCAAAAAATACTTTGTTGCAGCTGGAAGGCTTCTATGTGATCTTCCTGTTAGCTATGTAGTGGATTACAGATACACAAAATAAAAGGCTGTCAGCAAAGGGAAAAGTAGGGAGGAGGTGGAGGGAATATTGAAATCGCTTGGTTTTCTTATTATTTTTACCTATTCTTTCTCAGTAGCTTCATCAGCTCAGAGGATGCCCTGAGACTTGACCTGTAATTATTTTATATTTAATAGGTAGACACGCTGCTTTAAAAATGCATAGTGTAATCTGTGTATGCCTACGCAGCATACATAACACTGTCAGAACTCCTAGGAATGTAATTTGAGGAGAAAAATATTTTTATATCCTTTGTTTTTTCCCATAATGCTGGGAGTACATGTCTGGGTTGAAGTTAAATGACTAGCATCTGGTATTGACTGCTGTGAATGGTGCTTGGGAAAACGATCAGTGTAAATACTGGCATTAGCACAAGGCTAGACTGACCACACCTACCTGCCCCGTAGTGCAAGGAGTTAGATTTGGTTATCAGCTTAGGTTCCTATTACACAAGGAGGGTATTTTTTGGAAGTTGATAACAGTATTTTGCTGCCTTGCATCTGACAAAGAAGTTTCCATTTGCTTTGATGCTTTGTTAGATTATTTTTTTTTTAAAGTGAAATCATTTGGGCACTTTTTTGACTGTTTGGTGGCCTTACAAACAGTGTCGTGATGAGTAGCATAATAGTTTTCAAGCTTGAACTTTGGCTTTTTGCTGAGGTGAGTAAACAGTTGGATGAGTGTTTTATTATTTGAATTGTGGTGTGCCTTTTATATAACTGGCAAAAGACTCTAATGACTTTCCTTCAAGCATTTGAGTAAAAGTGTGCTGAATTGATGGGAAATGGCCATTACTGCATTAGGAAAAATACTGCAGAGCAACGCACAATGATTTTGTGACAATTTGTATCAATTAGCAAATAGGGCCAGAAATATGTCACACAACCATCTACAAGTGAAAATTACCAGCACCATTTGGAGTAAAAGTAGATGCTGTTTTTGTAGCACCAGTAACACTTTTTTTTTCCTTTAGGTTCCTGATTGTTACAGACCATTTGCTGAAATGTCCAGAGTTGGTAAAAGCCCTCTATGCCAAACTGAGCAATCAAGAAAGGTAACCCCAAAAACCAATGTGGCTTTTAGTATTTAGCATTCCATATAGAGTATCCTGTTCACATGATTGAAAAACTGTGTGGTTTCATAGTTGGCACAAAATCTCTAAATACATGTTTCTATGTCAGTAATGGTTTTAAATTGGTTGGTTAACATTACAGCTTAGCCACAACTGGCAGTGATTTATGTAGGGTTGCAGAATCCAGGTTGGCGCCATTACTTTGTAAAGAAATACTTTAAAAAAAAAAAAAAAAAAAAAGACAAGATTTCAGGCCTGTGTCTTGATTTCATAAGAGCACCACACCCTGCAGTGTTTTACAGCTGTATTTGAAATGTCCTCAGCTGTTCATACTCCTGTTGTAATTACAAGAAATTAAAAGGAAGCCTTTACTAAACTTGGAGGTGTCTCTGATAATAGTTAGCAGAACCTAAAAAACATAGATGTGCAGATAGCCCATGATTACTTTATCTTTTAGTACTTCAACTATTGAAAATATAAAATGCTTCAACAAACCTTCAGCTTCAAAGAAACCAGCTGTTTTTTCTTCAGGCATTTGAGTAAATGTATGTTAAATTGATGGAAATAGGGAAAATGCTGATTTACATTTGCTTTAATAGAAAATTGGGGAAGATAAAAAGTTATTTTGTTAGAATAATCAACTTCGGGAAATCCTGTACTATAATTCTGCAGCTTCTCCAACTTCTTGAAGATCTTGTGATCTTGTTTATATATTCAACATGGCTACTTTGTTCCCCACTTGCCCAGGGAAACTGCAAATTCCCCCTGTATTTTTTGTTGGTGAAAGACAGCGACAAACAAAGCAGTCCCTTAACGTTTTTTTCCCCCTCTGTTTTTAGCTGGTGACTAAAGCCGCAGTGTTATTACAAATAGGGGTGCAAATGCTGATCAGAGATTATAAAGAAACAAAAGGGATGGCAGGCAAAGAAGAGTGTGTGTTAGTTAGAACCATAGATAAAATATCAGGAACGTATAGGTACGGGATGGAAAACAAGGGATGGGAATGATAAGGAGGGAAATACTATCTTCATCCTGTATTCAGGCTGACCAAATGAGAATGAAAACATGCTGTGTGCTTACTGTGCCTGGAGGTAGGGGCTTCTTAACCAGTTAGCAGGAAAGACTAATTTAGGTGAATGAGCTAGATTTAATTCTTTTGAGGGATGTCATGAATGGCAGTTTGTTTGTATATTTTCATAATCTCCTTGAGGACAGCCAGGACTGGGTTAGGGTGTTCAGTTGTACTTAAAGAAATCGATGTAATTTAGTTTCTAGAAAGTTCTCAGCTGGGTTTGTTGCACGCACCGTGCTACAGACTGATTGGCTGCCTTGACTGAGGGCTTTTGGTGTAGGCATCATATGGATGATCATATGCAGGATGGCTAGTCACAGCGTATTCACTGAATTTATTATCAATCCCGAGAGTTCTGAAAATCAAGTTAACTCAATTAAGTTTTTCAAAAACATAATCACAGTACAGTTTATTATGAATTTGATACTGCTTCATTTACTGTCAAGCATATGGAAGTAAGTGGTGTAGAAATAGTGCTTTTGCATCTGAGCTATAGAAGAAAACCCTGCCATGGCATCTTCCTATGTAATGTTAGCGTATTTAAGAATGCATTCTTTTGAGATATATGAAGAAACAAATCCAATTCAGATAAAACCATTTTGACTGTCATTAACTGGAGAAAAAAGTAACTGTATAAACCAAAGCACAGGGTATTCATTGTTTCAAAACAAGACAAGGAGCCTTCACCGCAAGAGTTGCCGCATTGGGTGTCCAATAAGGCTGACTAAGACACATAAATGAAGAAAGGACAGATGTGGTATTGAGGCGTCTGGGGAGAGCAGCGTCAGCTCATGAATATATGGTAACTCTCAGTTACAGTATGCTCTATCATGCACATTAAATACACTTACTTTAAAATGTATTTACTGAAACAAAATTAACTATGCTGAGAAAGTTTGCAAATACATAGGTTAGTGGTGACTCTTAAAGTTGGCAGTTGCCTTAGATAACCAAAGTGTATGCAATTGCATAACCGCAGTTATTTGCACTATTCACAGTATTCGCACTATTCGAAATATTTCCTGTAATTGAAATCTAGTGCTTGTGTGATACAGTAGCCATAGTGCGTGCCATGAAACAGTTCTTGTTGTAGAAGTGGATCTGGAATCTAAATTTTCAATTAGAAGACAAATTTCTGACTTCTGGACAACTTTCTCTTTCATTTCCGAACAAATTTAAGCACATTGATGTTGAATGTCTGAAGTTTGCAAATGGCCTGAAATTAATATTTTGATAACATGATCAGCTTTTGTAATGATATTCTGGCTTTGAAAAGTGTATGATGATGTGACAATGCCTGCTGTTTCTCTGTAAGTGATTATTGCAGAAACATATGGCCACAGTATTGAGCCAAAAGATTGTAGATTCTTGAATTCTTTGCCAGATTTGAGATTTCCCTGCACGTGTGTTCAAGTATTTGACAGAAGTATTTAGAAAAAGCCTGCTATGCTTGAATCCAAGTTAGCCTTCAGCATGGACAATGTAAGTTAATGCCTTGATAGTCTTAATTACATTGTAAAATCTTCAAAATGAGTACATCTGTGTTGTACCTTTTAAGACACAGAGTCATAGAATTGTCTAGGTTGGAAGGGACCTTTAAGATCATCAAGTCCAACTATTAACTTAGCACTACCAAAACCACCACTAAACCATGATCCTAAGCACCACGTCTACCCATCTTTTAAATACTGCCAGGGATGGTGATTCCACCACTTTGGTGTTCCCCCCCCTCCCCTGGGCAGCCTGTTCCAATGTTAGATAACCCTTTCGGTGGGGAAATTTTTCCTGATGTCCTGGTTCTGGCAGGGATGGGGTTAATTTCCCCAAGGAGCCGGCAGGGGGCAGGTATTCCATCCCACGTGACCCGTGCCTGGGCTATAAGACGAGTTAGCTGGGGAGGGGAGAGCAGTCGCCACTCGGGGGTGGGCTGCAGTGGTCTGGGTCCGGTCGGTGCATGGCGGTACTCTAATCACGTCTTTATATCTCTTTATTGGTGTTACTGTTGGTTTTTTTTTTTTCCTCTCTTCCTTTTTGCTGTTCTGTTAAACTGCACTATCTCAACCCATGAGTTTTGCCTTTTTCTGCCGATTTTTCCCGTGGCTGTGGGAGTTGAGTGAGCAGCTGCCTCGTTCTTTGTTGCTGGCTGAGACCAAACCACAACACCTGATATCCAAACCAAACCTCCCTTGGCATAACTTGAGGCCATTTCCTCTTGTCCTGTCGCTTGTTACTTGTGAGAAGAGACTGACCTCCACCTCGCTGCAACTTCCTTTCAGGTAGAGAGCGATGAGGTCTCCCCTCAGCCTCATTTTCTCCAGACTAAACAACCTCAGTTCCCTCAGCCGCTCCTCATAAGACCTGTTCTCCAGACCCCTCACCAGCTTCGTTGCCCTTCTCTGGACACACTCCAGCACCTCAATGTCTTTCTTGTAGCGAGGGGCCCAAAACTGAACATAGTATTTGTACTCGGCACTGGTAAGGCCACACCACAGCAGGACAATCACTTCCCTAGTCCTGCTGGCCACACTGTTCCTGATACAGGCCAGGATGTTGTTGGCCGCCTTGGCCACACTGCTGGCTCGTATTCAGCTGGCTGTTGACCAGGTCCTCTTCTGCTAGGCAGCTTTCCAGCCATTCTTCCCCAGGCCTGTAGCGTTACAGGGGGTTGTTGTGACCCAAGTGCAGGACTGAGCACTTGGCTGTGTTGAACCTCCTACCATTGGCCTCAAGCCATTGATTCAGCCTGTCCAGATCCCTCTTGCTTTAATTAACAGCAACAAAAATGCAACTGAATAGCTGCTGGTATTTTTAAGATGCTCAACTACTTGCATCTTTAGTTTTGATTTTAGTGTTATTTCATATGAAGTGTTCTCAGTGAATGATGTAGCCATTGATTGCATTACCAGCCGGGAAATGGGCACTCGAGTAGTGTAAGTGGCACCGCTTCTCGCTTATGTTCAGCTACAGGGCTGCTAATGTCAGCGTTGTGGTGGGTTTATGTTCTTGGTAATGCTCACAGACGCAGAATAGCTGAAGGTAGCGTTGGATGATAGTCCTTCACAAACTTATCAATTTTCATTTAATAGGATGCTTACAAGTATTGTTTGAAGATGAAAGTGAAAATTTAGAGGAAGGACCTAATTTGTCTCATAGAATCCTTGCTGTCAGTGAAGTGTTTCAGGAAAGAGAAGTCCCAGTGTCAGAGAAAGAATGTCCCGAGTGTCTGGCACTTGCTAAGAGGTTATAAACGAAACACACTTGATACAAAAATTGTTTGGCAATAATAAAGTTGAGTCCTTAGCAGGACTTCACTTTATTTTGTAATAATGAGCTTCCAGATTTAAATTGCACTTTAATGCTGTGGTTTATTTGCAGACTATGGGAGACAGCAATATGTTTTACTGATGACTGCAAATTCTTTAGAGTAGTTGTTCTAAGTTCTTGCCAGTTTGGTTGGTTTCAGGAAGAACTGGTTTAAATTTGGCTAGGGGAAAAAAGGGCAAGAGATTGACAACAAGCTTTCCGAAGTGAGGCCTCAAGAAAAGGAAGATGATGCTTACAGCATGATCATTTCCAAATAGAAATACAATCATAAATATAATATACAAAATTATATTTTAGATATTGAACTGAGTGTTACAAAAATTCATTATGAGGTGCTAAAACTGCTACTAAGAGTTGTTGTAACTTTTGTACTTAGCTGTAGGCAAACTAGTAGGAACAAACTCTGTCATCTGAATGGCTAAACAGTTGTGAGGTCGTTTAAAAGAAATGAGCATATTGCATTGTGTAGGGGAACTAACTTGGAAAAATTCATGTGAATCTTGGAAGAAAACTGAGAGAAGCAATAGAAGAAAGGAATGTAAGGAAACTTGCACCAGAACAAAAAGCGTTGCTCTCAGGAAATTGTTGGCTGAATGGCGAGGCTTGCTTGAAATTCAGGGGAAAGATGGGCATGTACTGAATCACTGTGCCTGGAAGAAAACTCAGGAAAATAGTTTTGACATGAATGCCTAAAGAGAACAGAAAATCTTAAAAGAAATTATTTACAGGTGGTGTTTTAATGTTGCTCCTATTTCTCTGGAAGGATTATGGTTGTCTAAAAGGCACCCGATGACGTTGCAAGAGGAAGAGTAATGCAATAAACTTCCCTATTGGCAACAATTTAATCTCAGTAATACAGTTTATAGAAGTATGTGGTGAGCCTCCAATTTCTTTACAGAAGTATTGCTTGTCACTTTTAAATGTGTATTATTTGGATGATTGGTGCAACACCAGCTGACTGGAATTCTGTTACACAGGAGATAATAATTTATTGGAATAATTCCTGTAATGACAAAGTCTGTGAGCAGCCTGTTTTCTTAGCTGAGTGTATGCTTGAAAGGCTCTAAGCTTTGTAAAAAGTGTCATGTGAAATCTAGCCCTGTCTTAGGATGAATGACACGTCTGTGCATTTGATTTTTGTATAGGATGCCAAATCTGAAAGCCTGCGTTCAGTTAGGGATGTTGTGTAACAGGACTCTGGCAATTTGTAGATGGGCAAGTGTGTGGTACCCAGCTGTAACCTGCAGAACAAAGCAGAACTGCGGTTCTGTGTTGGTGCTCTGTCACATACGTAAGTGAAGCCTGTGAGAGACGTTACCAGTGTTTGACAGCCTTCTGTCTGGAGTCCACT